TGGTACATTCTTGGTAGTCATCTGGTACATTCTTGGTAGTCATCTGGTACATTCTTGGTAGTCATCTGGTACATTCTTGGTTGTCATCTGGTACATTCTTGGTTGTTAGCTGGTACATTTTTGGTCATTGGCTGGTACATTCTTGGTATTTACCTGGTACTTACCTAATAAGAACTATGCTTATACTGAATAAGTACAAGTACATACCTGTTAACTCAGTAAGTATACAAGTACCAGATTTGTACTTTGTAAGTACTAGGTAAATACTGTATCCAGTAACTACAAGGTATCTTCCAGGTACATAGTATGTTCTCAGTAAGTACCCTGTCGTTATGTGGTTCTTACCCAGTACTTCCTGGGTGAGTACTTGGTTGTAACTTTGGTTGTGATGGAACTTCCTGTCTGTCTGGTATCAGATGACATCAGTACCATGCTGGATCCTTATCAGCTGGATCAGTCAGATGGTGGCTCTGCTGGACAAACCTGAAGCTGTGGCGGTGCAGCACTCCGTGGGGCAGATAGCAGAGTTCTACCCCCAGTCTCTGGTTTACCCCCTCATGATCAGCAGTGAGAGTTACCGCTTTGAAGACTCGGCCACGGGCCACCAGCAGCGGGAGTTTGTCAGCAGGTATTCTGTCCAATAAATGTTCATCTTGTAAAACCTCTGCTGCGTTTCCAGACTCCTGTTTGTGTCAACAGGCTCAGGAGCTCTCTGGATAAAGAAGTTGCTGTGAAGAACTTTGTGGATGCCCTGCAACAGTTCACGAACCCTGAGATGATTTTTAAGGTACTGAGTGTAACTTCTAACTATAAATCAGTGAATCTTCCAAATACAGAAGGTTTTGGACTCGTCGTTCTCACAGGACTGGTGGGACYGTGTCAAAAGTGAGCTGGAAAAGCCGACGTTTGACCAGAAGCAGATGAGCGACCTGTACGAGGAGATGCGCTCCCTGCTTGGGGATCGGAACGCAGCCGGACATGGAGCGTTTCGCAAGAAGTTCATTCAGGTTTGGACCTCCTCCYGCCTCTCACTCAGTGATTGTTGGACATCGTCGGCTCAAGTGATTTGTGTTTTTTACAGAAATATTTCAAAGACTTGGAGAAGCTGTTGGGACCAAAGGGAAGCACGCTGTTTGCGAAGAGGACGGACAAAACCTTTCTGGGACAGGTGGACTCGTTGGCATCGTCCATGCGTGACTTTCAGAAGGACCCGGGGAACCTGAAGGAGTACTCTCCCTGGCTGAGTGGATTTAAAGCCAACCTGTTTGGGAACGAGCTGGAGATTCCAGGTCAGCAGACCTAATGTCTTTCAGAAAAGAATCATAATTAAATTCTGTATCATATGATCTGTAATTAAAGTACTGTTGAAAACATATTTTATCCCTTTTCTTCTTGTAGGACAGTACGATGGCCGATCTAAACCCTTACCTGAGTATCACGCCAAGATAACAGGCTTCGATGAAAGGGTCGGTTTTTATCAGTGTTCGGTTTGATAGTCTGGGTTTGTGTGTTCTGGTCGGTCTGTTTAAAGCTCCTTTCTGCCCSGCAGGTAAAGGTGATGTCATCCATCCGTCGCCCCAAACGCCTGATRATCCGCGGGGATGACGAGCGAGACCACCCCTTCCTGGTGAAGGGCTGCGAGGATCTGCGTCAGGACCAACGCATCGAGCAGCTGTTCGCCGTCATGAACATTCTGCTGAGTCATGATACAACCTGCATGCACCGGGGCTTGCAGCTCCGCACCTATCAGGTCATTCCCATCACAACCAGGTACCCGACTGATGTGTGCACAAGTATACGCAACGTTAACCCCAACTCGAAGGAAAAACTCTATTTAACTGCTGTATTTATTCATAGAAAGTACTAGAAATTTAACCCTAAAAATTAGAGCTCGGTGGTATGACCCAAATTTTATATCACGGTATTTTCAACAATTACACCAGTCTCACGGTATTTGACGGTATTTTTTTTTTTTCATCACAGCTCAGCTGATAATAAAATGTACAAATGTTGCTTATTGACTTTTCTTTTCCTGTACCTCTGTCTGTGTGGCTGTTTCCTCCTCTGTACGTCTTCTCTGCCTGGTTGTAGACAGTAATCATGCATTTTGGTCCGATCGTGAAGGGTTGAGAAAAGATCATTATCGTGTCTATCATTGTGTGTTAATAAAACATAAACCACCAGTCAATTCAACTCTAATACAAAACTARTTCCCCTGAGCTTTTCACAGTAGAAGCACGTTAAAGTCTCCATGCATRAAAGTCTCCATTTTAACGTTAAATCTAACCGTGCAGGACACTGAAGAGTTTTCACCATCCCATTTTCAGCGATGGTGAAAATGGGATGTTTTTTTTTTTTACTTCAGTCAATATAAGCAGCCGAAACACCACCCGCCGCCAGTTACTCCAACTAGCTGCTCCAACAATAACATTAGCATGCTAACGCACATAGCGGTGCAGCGAGGAAAAGTGTCCCCCAAGAAACAGTTCACTGGCGGCTGCGACGAAACTTTCCAAACGTGTTCAGGCTATTTAAACCGGAATGTCCGGTATTCAGAAAACTCATATAATAAAATTAAAAACCGGTTTTCGATACAAAACGGTATACCACCCAGCACTAATAAAAATCATCCATAATGTGGGGGTATAGTATTATACACGGGCTATTGACAATTAGATTTTTATGCTTTGTAAGCTCAAAAAATGATAATCGTATTATACTCAAGATCGTATTTTACTTGAATAAATATGGTAATTATATATTTCTGGTGCAGGAAAAAAAGATGTTATCCAATTAAAAATAATTAGAGTACTTATTTTTGATTAATCAGTCACACATTTTAGAAGTAATTGTAAAACGAGCTGCACAGACTCTTATTCTGAAAAGTATCTGCCAGCTTTATTTTGAAAACTCTGGGTTAAAACCTTTTCCTGTTTGTTTGTTGTTTGTTTGCTTTATGAGGACAGTCGTGATAAAACATAAAGAAAAACGTGCAGAAAATGTAACAGGTGACTCAGAATCTGCTGAGTCAGTAAATGGTAAATGGCTTGAACTTATATAGCGCCTCATTAAGTCCACTTGGACCCCAAGGCGCTTTACACTTCCAGACATTCACCCATGCACACACACATTCACACACTGCTGTGGTGATTCCCTCCTTTCCTGGGAAGCAGGTTGAGAGGCGGAGCATACAGCATTCTTTATCAAACTGAGCCTCACTGTTGTTTTGCAAACACTGTAGAAAAAGTGGAGAAAATGATGAAGAAAAAGTGAATAATAAATTTCTGCTTTCAGTTTCTGTTTATTTATTTTTATTTATTTCAGAATTGGTTTGATTGAGTGGATGGAGAACACGTGTACTCTGAAGGAGTTCCTGAACAACACCATGACTGATGAGGAGCAGCAAAGAGCGAGGAGGTACCGACATGTTTTACTCTTTCACCACACGTGGTCACGAGATAATCTGAATTAAAACCTAATTATTTGGTTAATTAAACCAGYTCTTATCCAGTTATTATTTATTAGTGATAAAAGTTCAAACCTCTGCATTAATATTTATATTTTTATAATTACAGAGTTTGTTTTCCTTTCAGTTGTCCTGAAATGCACACAAAGTGGCTCGAAACCTTTGGTTCTACCAAATCTGCCATTGTACGTTATGGACTGGCTTACAGGTGAAACAGCTGATGATTATCATGTTCAGTGTTGTAAAGTAACTAAGCACAAATACTTTGTTACTCTACTTAAGTAGAATTTGTGGGTGTCTGTACTCTACTTGAGTAATTATTTTTCAGCCTACTTTTTACTTCTAACATTTTTAAAAAGACAAGAAGTAGAAAGTCATTACTTTTATTTAATTTTTGCTTGTTTTCATTCCAGCTTGTTATTGTAAAAAATAAAAACTATCCATATAAACTGAGCCTCCTAGATAGAGTGAATTTAACTGTGGTTGAATGAGAAGTATAAATATATAAAACTCTGATAGTGTATTAGTTTGTACACAAACAAATCATGTCACACTCCAGCAGGACAGAATCATTCAAATAAAAGGACTGTACTTAAGAAGTATTTGTACTTCATGAATTGTATTATTACATTTGGCCGCAGCCCTCAGATAGATTTTCATTTTGGGGAAAAGCTTTGTGCAGCCTTGATATATGTATATAAACTGAAACAGCTGGACTAGTGCATCCTAAATTTAACATCCATTCATTCTTTTAATACAACAGTCATTTCTGCAGTTTTTCACCTCCTAATAAATGTCCTTACAGAAAATCTTAACTGCTCATTTTAAATTTGTACTTTTACTTTTAATACTTAAGTACAAAAAATATCAGATAATTTAAGATCTTTACTCAAGTAATATTCCTAAAGGAGACTTTAACTTTTACCAAAGTCATTTTTTGGTAAGATACTTGTACTTTTACTCAAGTATCACTTTGTGGTACTTTACACAACACTGCCCATCTTGGTGTGAAACTGATGTGTTAATTTCTCAGTTAGGAAAAATATACTCAACCAATTATAAACTTAAATCTGTTTTTGAACAGGAAAGCTAAACGTGTCGACGCCGTGAACAACTTCCTGAAGGTTCAGCAGCAGGTTCCCAGTGATCTGCTGAAGTGAGTTCAGTCCGTCTGAAGCGAAGCCACGATGAAGACGAGCGCCTCGTGTTTGAACGTTTCTTCTTCCTGGTTTTTAATTTTCAGGAGGTCGTTCCTGAAGATGTGCAGCAGCCCCGAGGCCTTCCTGTCGCTGCGCTCCCACTTCATCAGCTCCCACGCRCTGCTCTGCGTCAGCCACTGGATCCTGGGGATCGGAGACCGCCACCTCTCCAACTTCATGATCGACATGGAAACAGGAGGCATGATCGGCATCGACTTCGGTCACGCCTTCGGCTCAGCCACGCAGGTCAGGAACTGCTTCTGCTACGAGCTTTGATTTGTGCTGCCATTATCAGGGAGCAAGAAARYGAAAAAAGCTAAAATATTTACAAAGAAACTGAAGAAACTGAATTATCTGCTTGGATGAAACTTATGTAAAGGCTGAAAGAGAGTAAAAGATCAAAGAAGCAGAATGCTAGCTAAAAACTAAAACAAGCTAAACGATAGCTAGCCTAACAGCTAAAATATGCTTAATGAAGCTACAAATAGCTAACCATAGCCAAATACGCTAGCCATATTAAAAGTAGCAATATGATTACTAAAAGTCACAGAATTTTAGCTAAAAGTACCAAAACACAAGCTTCAAATGGCAAAACACTAGTTAAAAGTAGCACAAGGCTAGCTAGAGGCTAAAAGAAGCTAAACACTATCTAAAAGCTCAATATAGCAATATGCTAATTAAAGTTAGCATAAGGCTAGCTAGAGGCTTAAATAATAATAATAATGCATTAGTTTTATATAGCGCTTTTCGAGACCCTCAAAGACGCTTTATCCTTCATTCACACTCACAATCACACACTGATGATAGTAAGCTGCAGTAGCCACAGCTGCCCTGGGGCAGACTGACAGAGGCGGGGCTGCCATACTGCGCCACCGGCCCCTCTGACCACCATCAGTAGGGCAAGGT